GTATACCATATTTTTCAGAGTATAAGACGCACCGGACTATAAGACACACCAAGATTTTGAAGAGGCAATTTTTAAAAAAAAAAGGTTTTGCACTCTGCAGACCTCCCAAAAACGGCCCATTTTTCATGAAAACGGGCCCTTTTTTGTCAAAGGAGGAGCTGCTCCTAGTGGCTGGGGGTGGGGGCAAAAATGAGCCCATTTTTGCTCATTGTTGCCCTCCCCAGCCCCCAGGAGCACTCTGGAAGCTTCCTAAAGGCTATGTATGGCCATTTTTGCAAAGGGGGCGGGGTTTCAGAAGGCAAAAATGATGTATTCATTACTATATTTTTTGGGATGTACCTTTTTCTCTCAAAAAAAGAGGGTGAAAATCTGGGTGCATCTTATACTCCAAAAAATACGGTAATTAAATTGTTTAAACTATTCAATTGAAAAGAGATATGAAAAAGCAACAGAAAATAAAATTTCAGCTACAATTTCATATTAGCAATTATCAGTTCTTACCTATACTTATATATGTTTGTCTGCATCTTAACCAGAATAGGGGTTATGTTGGTTATTTGCCATGGTTTTTCAGAAGAGTGGTGTTTTCTTTTCTTAAAATATTGAAAATCAAACTCCTTTAAGAAGGATTGAGTAAGAGGAAGATTATCTGCATCAATTGAATATATATACATATCAGCAGGCAATGTATAGTTGTCATCATTTAGGAGAAGACGTTTGAATCTGTAGAAAAATGGATCCGTTTCTTCATTCAAGTCCCATAAAGAAGTGCTTTCCTCTGAAATATACTGTTCTTTAGACTGAGCATCAGAATAAATACTGAGTTCTGGGAAATCAAGAAGAGTAAAATGCTCAGGAATTTCTGTACATAGTTTAATAATATGGTTTCGATGCCACAAGCCAACATCTTGCCTATTATCTGGATAAGTTTCAATTCCTGGTCCAAAACGCTCATCAGCCTTGTAAAGCCCCTTTAGAGGGAAAAAAATGTTCAAAAACAAAAAGATATGACAGATATAGACAGAATAATAAAGACAAAATACAGAAAAGAATGCATTTTTAATTTATTTGTGTGTTCATTTATTCAAGGAATACTAAAAATTAAAAGGATTAGCAACACTATGAAAGAAATCAACCGTATATAAACCCTGTAAATAAATGAACAAACTTTGTGCTACTCCTAAAAACATTCATAATCTTGAAAAGAAACATGTTTCTCAAATATTTGTTGAACTTATTCATTTAACAAACATGATAGTACAATATTATTATTAGAATTTATAATTTAATATTATTAAAACTTTAGGGTTACCTGAAATTGTTTTCCATCCACAAACTCTAGGGTCCCATACCCTTCTTTACGATTAAGATAAAATGAACCTGTAAATCTGGAGCCATTAGGCCAAAAGTAAATTCCTTTGCCATGACGGTGATCTTTATAAAATTGCCCTATGTATCTCTGCAATAAAGAAGAAATAAACATTAAATGTATTCTACTTTAAATGAATATATTCCAGTACATCTAGAGAATCTCTAAATATTAATATAAGCAATACTGCAGCATTCATGAATATAGTTCATCTACCTCAGTGATGGCTAACCTTTTTGCCATCACGTGCCAAAAGCGGGGAAAGTGCAGGGTGGTCATGCGCGGGCATGACCACACCCATAATTCTATACGTGCAACCCCCTGTGTGCGCATGCACGTGCGACCGCCACCCTCCCCCCACTTTTGATGCGCGATGGACCCATTTTCTGCCCTCCCCAGGCTCCAGAGGCTTCCTAGGAGCCTAGGAAGGGTGAAAACAGCCTCTTCTGCCCCCCCCCCACTCCCTTGAGATACTCTGAACGCTTCAGGAAGCTTCCCTGAAGCCTCCGGAGGGCGAAAAATGGCCCAACAGGCAAATTGGAAGTCTGTTCCTCTGGAGACTTCAGCCAAAGTCAGCGGGCCAGCACACGCATGAGCACTGGAGCTGACAGGACAACGCCTTGCGTGCCCTAACAAATGGCTCCACATGCCACCTGTGCCATAGGTTCACCATCATGGATCTATCTCATATTATGTAGCCTCTGCATGCATTTTTCTGCAATCACAGCATTTCAAAACACAGAAATATATTTTCATGACTAAATTATCCCATATATCAAAATTACAAGGCACTTTGGAAGTTTCAGGATGAAAAATTCTAGCTTGAACCTCAGGTGATTTTGACTTTATAGTTCTTTAATCTCTTTGCAGAGGATTCCAATTTTCCAGCAGCAATTCTTAAACTAAGTAGATGAAAATTAAGCTATTCGAAGATTAGAATAGGTTAACTTAATAGCACATTCCATTTTTCACTTTTCATTCTCACATGCCAGATTTTCAGTTTTATGGTGAATTGAATGTCTAAATGTGTAATTCTTAATTTGTTATCTAATTTTTAAAATTTCAGGATGGCTTTGATATGTAGTCTTTCTAAATGTTTGGACTAGTCAAAGTTTTACGATTTTTTAAAAGTGTGGACACATTTATCAAGCATACAAAGGAGGTTGAAATGAATAAGGAATTCATATGCAAGTTCTATATTGCCTGGCTTATTCTCAATTCAGATGGTGCATGTCAAAATCATTGCACTTTACCCACTATATAACACTTACATTTATATTAAATTATGTCACACTAGGAGCTTATGTACAAAAGAAGCTTGAGCAAAAGAAGCTTGAGCAAAAATTGAGCGGTATGCATTTTTCTATTTTATTCCTGATATTGTCTATACAACACATGTTGAACAAATAATATTGTGTTTTAAGAAAATTGAAAGAAAACTAGATAAGATCAAGCATTAGAAATATCTGTTAATAAATATAAACTAATACAATGTATATAGTTATGCTTTCTAAACAGTAAGAGAAAATATATATAATTAATCTAATGACAACCCTACATGAAATGCAAATACTACAAAAAATATTTAGTATTTATAAGAAGTGGAAGAGCACTTAATTTTCAAAGAAAACACAAGTTTTAAATGTGATAAATTATGTGATCTAAATTCACTTGAGAGGTTCAACCGAACATATATAACCTGAATATGTATAAGACGGATACTAAATGGGGAATGCACATTAGGCCTGCTTATTTCTTTTTATAGTGTTCACCCATTCTGCTGCAAGTTTGAAGGAAAGCTATATGTTTACCCACATGATTTGAAGACAGGGAGAGTAATCTGACTAAGTCAAATATTTTGAAAATCAATATAATGATTAACACCACTTCTACATAAGAAATTTAATAAATAACTATGAATTGGTTTAAATATATTTTTTTGTAAGCACTGAATCTGCTTTCAGTCAGTTTCACTGAATATTCTGAATTTTGGTATAATTTCAACCTCCGTAGTCTTTTTACATCATAAACCATTAAACAAACTTGAGAAACATCAGCACACACAGAACTCATATATGTAGAATTGGATAACCAACTCTGAGTTAAAGGGAAAACCTGGTTTATGGAAACCTTTGTTTACCCTACTAAAATATTAGTAAATTATAATTACTGAAAATCAGGAAACCAGGCAGGAATTTTAAAAAGAACCCTAATGGCTAAACCATCACTCAGGTTTAGTATCTGAAATAGACCAATCAATAAAATAATATTTTGTTTAAGAGGTGTCCATATGTATGTTTAATGAATAATTATTTCAAAACATGTTACAAAGACCACCTAAAGATTCTAGCCCCAATTGTTCTTATAAATAAAGATGCTTCAAACACTCATAGGAGTGTTGTGCATTCTGTTTTCTAAAAAGCTTATCCTGGGATGCATCTATAGGACACATAGGAAAGCAATCAATATGCACAATGCTTCACATATGCACTGAATCCCAACCTATATTCCACACATAGATATATTTATTAAGAGAGAAATCTGCAAGTTCTCAGAGAAAGTTGATAAAAAATATTTGAAGGACAGTAGTAATTTACAACCGACTGCCAGTATATATCATAGCTCAGAAAGGATCAAAAACAGAAATTTTAAGTGATATTTTCAAAGAATTTGAAGCATCATCTGCAAGCGTAGGAAATTTATTCCACTTGACTTCATCCATAGGAAATAATTGCAGATATACATACTGAGAATTACAACATTTAATAAAAGAGAAATCTATGGAGGATAAAACTCAAACAAAACTATAAACCCTAACCAATCCATGACTTTTATTCCTGGTTAAATAAATTTCATTAATATTCCACTTACTGCATGATTTATCACAGTAAAAAAAGAGAACTGAATATCTACTTTCAGAATGATATATTAGATTCTGTTCTTATAACCATTATTCAGTATACAGTAACTAAGGAAGATAAAATAATTGACAAAATAAATAACATACAAATTGTATCTGAAATGAGCAAATAGGACCTGTAGCTAGACTATCATTAACAAATAATTTTCTATCAAACTCAATCTCTCTCAGTTTAAATATATAATGGCATTCAGACATCATTTATTATTGTCTTCTCAATCTGATTCCCCACAAGAAAATATTATAAATAATTCCTTAAAAATCTATTAAGAGACTAGTAGTTTACAGAATTTTTTCCAGGGGGGTTATGAAATCCAATCTATTAGCCATTGCAAGCTAATAATTCAAAAATCTGCATATAAAACAAGCTAATAAGGGACAAGGAAAATATTTGCAGAGTCAGTTTGGCCTAGTGGTTAAGGCACCAGGCTAGAAAGTAGAAGATAGTGAGTTCTAGTCCTGCCTTAGCCACGAAACCAGCCTGGTGACCTTGGGCAAGTCTCTCCAACTCATCTCACAGGGTTGTTGTTGTGGGGAAAATAGGAGGAGGAATGTACTGTATGTACTCAAGTATAAGCCTAGTTTTTCAGCCCACTTTTTGNAAGGCTGAGTCAACCCTGAGCCGGTGAGATTTGAACCGCTGACCTGCTGATCTAGCAGTAGCCTGCAGTGCTGCATTTAACCACTGCGCCACCTTGGCATTAGAATTTGTTTGTAAAAACAGTATTCATTGTACAGCATGCCATAAAATAACTGCACTATGAATTTAATTTATCATTTTGTCATATACAAACTGTTTTGGGGTTTTTTTCTCACTTCTTCTATATGGTTTACAATATAGCAAAAGCCTACTCTCATGGAACCTATTGTATAGAAACTGATACTTGGACAGCAAACATGATCAACTAACACTATTTAAAGTTGGAAAGATAATTGTATAGGTCAAATTTATAGGTGTAAGAAGCTCCCCCCCCCTTTCTCTCTGTACATATTGTTGTATTGCTTTTTGTTTATTTTTTATTTCACTATTATTTTGTGTGTTTTTCTCTTTGTTCTGGTTTATTCAGTAAATAAATAAATACCTTGTTTGCAATCTTATCTAGCTGGAATATATCATTCTCATCTTCTGCCCTGACATCAGGATCTGCAGCAGCATGAAGTAGTAATTCTGTGATTACAATCCCTTCTGCACCAGGAAGGGCAGCAGCAATATGAAGAGGAGTCACACCTCCAAACTGGGAAAACAAATACTGCATTTATTCCCAAAGCAAAGCACAAGTTACTATAACATTTCACCACTGTATGCACTCAGTCCATTAAATGCTCATTATGACAAAAAGGTATTCCAGCTTCTAAATGAACATCTGATCCATATTGGCTAAGTTTTAAGAACTGAAAAAAATGAAACCTTAGGGAATATAATTGGCCAAGTCATTATTATGAGAAACTAAACATTTTCATCAAATACAATCAACCTTCTTTGTTATATGACAGCTTAATACACTAAAAGAGTTCCTGACTAAGCTACTAAAATGATTAATCAGTAGCAATGAAACAGGAACAGAATAGAACGAACATGCTTTTTAAAATTACTACAAGGCACTATAAACAATTTATGTGCAGCTTAAAGTTGATATGCTTAAAACATAAATCATTGAAATAAGTGGCTTTCAAATATTTGTATACTTCTTTAAATAATTAGGATTGTTCTACAACACTGGAAGAATTTAGGAAAGAGACACACTTTTTACAACTTATTTTTACAACTTATTTTATAGGAAAACATTTTTAATACTAATGCAACTTCACTGCAGCATCTCATTTTGATATCAATTTTGAATTAGAAATCACCCAGCAGGCAATGTCCAGACAACAGGGAGCTCTGAGAGTGAGATAGGTAATCTCTAAATTTGATAAATAAATGAAATAAATAAAAATGTATACACTAACTCAGTCACTACATGTGAGACTAAATAAACTCTTTTTATCTGCTACCTGATTCAGAAGACAAAAACAGATTTCATATGTATGTGACAAGCTAACAAACTCTTCATTGTGGGCTACATTTGTGCTGCACACTGGAAGTATTAAAATTGATATCAGAGCTTTTACATCCTATCATAAGTTAAAACTGTAGTTTTTAATTGAGAACTATCCCATAAAAACAAAATATCCTACTTTGGTTGGAAGTTGTATGTCAGTCCTTGCTCCAGCTTCTAGAAGTATTCGCACACCTTCTGCATCAGCAGATTTAACAGCAAAGAACAGTACAGGCATAGGAATTCTGCAAATATTTGGATCAGCACCTCTCCTTAGGAGCACTTTAATTATAGACATTTTCTTTTTTTGTCTAAAATCCAGCAGAAAAAAGATCCATGTCAATACCTAAAACTGAACGCATTAGTATACATAATGCTACACAAGCAGATAAGAAGTTCTATAACCAGATATTCATCCTCTGATGCCTAATACTTTAAAGATATTTTCTTTTTCTTTTGCAGGCTCTTCTAATTGATGGGATGCAGGCAACAAAATGATAGTTTACATGGCTGTCTCTAAATAAGAGAGCCCGGCCTGCACAAAATATTATTAGCATGTTTAAGATAAAACTGGGCTTTGTTCATGCTTGTGACATACTGGTCAAAATCGCAAAACTGGAATAGTATTCTAATCGTTAGTAAGAAATATTGTATTTTTTTGATAAAGTTATTACATGACAGCTTCAATTCACAACAGCCATACAGAAAGTCCTCAACTTACAACCAATCTCTCAGTGACTATTGGAAGTTACAGTAGACCCTCCAAAAGGTAGGAACACACAGGTTAATAATAATAGTTATATACTAGGTCAGGGATGTCAAACTCAAGGCCCAGAGGCCAGATCTGGACCACGGGGTACTTAGATCTGGCCTACGGGGCCACCCTGGAAATAGCAAAGGACTGGCCTGGAGTGCAGCTTGGGAGCCCATTTTTGCTGGCAGAGCGCTCAGGCCACCACAGGCACCCCCGACATGAGTGACATCGAGCTGGCCATGCCCACCCTGCCCCCCTGAGTTCAAACACAACCCTGATGTGGCCCTCAATGAAATCGAATTTGACACTCCTGTACTAGGTTAACTCTGAATGGTGAAAATGAAAGAATCAGAATGAGTTTTGGAACAGAACACTGGGCAATATGCTGAATGAATAAGTTCCAGGGGGGAAATCATTCCATAAGAATATTATATGGATGGGTTGAAGCAAGAAAAGAGATCACAGCTTAGAAAAGAGCAAAAAGGACTAACTAACATGGTGTCACTGAGGTGTGTAGAATTATGAAAATAGTAAAAATGTAAAAAGACGAACTGAAAGAGACTATGGAACAATGCTTAAAAGAGAAAGATTGCTGCAAAAGATTAAAATGATAAAAAGATACTGCTTAATGTGTATATTGAGAAAAAAGTGAGCAAAGCTAAACAAAGTGACATTAAATTGGAATCATTAACATAATCTGTTCTATATTTCACACCATATTCAGGGTTTGCAGTAAGAACGAATTATAATACCATTACTAAGTAATCAAAAAGTTTTGCAATATTGTTAGCAGGTTTTTGTAACACAGCATATATTGCTTGATTTTCATATCGTAAGAGTTCCCTCAACTTTTATTCATAGAAACACCTTATAAAATTAATTAACTTTTAACTATCTTCAGAAAAAGTTCTAACATAGGGATTGCCTTGACCATGGTACTTCAAAAGATTCATCTATGTTCTCCTAAAATCACTTACTCTGTTAATGATACTGCCATTTTCCTTAAGGTGCCTTCCTGTTGAACAATCTCCCCAATGTCTGGGTAACTGTGAGTTTGCAACATATGTTGACTAAGAACAACTGCACCATGATGCATAGTTTCTGGAGAAATCTTCATTTTGTAGTTGTAAACACCACAAATTGTCCCAGAGTTCCGATCTCCATTGTCTGTTGACTCCGATGACTTAATTTCAACATCTGGGAAAAATTCTGTTTTTTCAAGTAACAATGGCAACGCTTCAACTGATACTGGGGTGGTAGCATTTGTACTCGCTTCAGATAATTGAGACATCTCTGACCGTGATAATGGTACAGATTCCTTAGACATTTCTTCAAGGAGGTCTTCTAACTATATAAAGTAAGGGGAGGGGGAGATAATCACTTGTAAAACTAATAACTATATCTTGACAGGAAAACAATATATTATTAGGGTATGTTTTTAATGTTCAGATACATACATCTCCATAACCAGGATGTTATGCAGAATAGTAAAGTTAGGTAACCTTCTACCAAAATTTTGCAAAGATAATTTCATTATATCACCTTTTCCCCTTTGCTTCCTTCTTTCCTACTTGCTTCCTTCCATTCATTCATCCATGCATCCATCCATCCATTATGGAACTCAAATAATCTCCTGTCCACAAATACTGAAAAGACTTGCATCTGGCCAATTTGCAGCTTCATATGACTTCAGATTATGCCTATCAGTTATACCACACACTAGACTACAGACAGCAAGGATGTCATTATCTTTTAACAATAACTGCTATTTGGTTTTTGAAAAAAAAACTTCTAAAAATCAGAAATACTTTTTAAAAAGTTTCAACAAGCATTGGCTGTACTTTACATTATAAAACTAAAAGTGAGAGAAAGGACACTTATGGACCAATCCCTATAAAGGAGCTCTAATTCAAGCTATTTAGGGATTTAAGATAGAGCAGTAGAGCAAATACAATACACTGAAATAAACATTTTAAGCAAAGAACATTAGGAATTGTGGGTAATTCCATTCCTATTGGATGTAGCTTAGCAACCAAATTAAACGATTATTAGCAAATTTAACTTTCGTTTGAGAAATGCAGTTTCACAAACACAAAGACCCTAAACAACTTCAAAAGGAAAATCCAGCACTGTCCACTGAATTTAGCAGAATAGTAGCAAGTGTGGTTGGTTAATTCAANCATTATTGGTATCTATTTTTATTTTTGAAATTTATCGGTAGCTGCTGCATTTCCCACCCTAGGCTTATACTCGAGTCAATAACTTTTCCAGTTTTTTGTGGTACAATTGGGTTTCTTGGCTTATATTCGGGTCGGCCTATACTCGAGTATATACGGTATGTTGGAAATTTTCATAACCTTGGGTTATTTATAAAAATAATAAAGGAGGGGTATAAATGAGTAAATTAAAATATATTTTCCTAAAACAGCCCATTGTAGCTTTAACCTAACTACCAGTATTAAGAACACTAGCAGAAAATATACATTTTCAAACACTTCCTTTTTATTTATATGGATCCACCCAGTAGTTAAAAACAAAATAAACAGAAATATGGCGAAAAAAATCTTATATTAAACAAAGTTTTATTGCAAATTGGGATATTTAAGAACAAGGCATACAGACTCCCTAAACCTCATATTATTATCAAATATTCAGAACTGTGAATTTAAGTAACATTGAATATTTATAAATGCACTGTAAATGAATTGAAGTATTCCTTCCTTCCTTCTTTTTCTTGTGCTAAAGTAATTGGTGCTACCTGGCTATCAGCCATTGTTAAAGGTTTTTTTAGTAAAAGAGGAAACTTCTGGGAAAAGCAAATGTACATTTATAATGCATTCCATAAATCAGGTTAGATTACATGCTAAATGTTGGAAAAACTAAACCATAAATATTAAAGTATGGATCAAATCACAGTATAGGGTCACGCATGCATCCCATCGCGCTCCCCCCACGCATGCACGCAACCACCCCTGCAGCCCTAGCAGGCCTGCCTGAAGCATCCTGGGACCAAAATGGACTGCGGGGGGGCACTGCACATGCCCCCGTGCTGCCCCCATCCCCATCCCCTGCACATGCACATGCACATGACCCCTCAGACCCCCGCGCATGCACACACACCCCCACGCATGCACACATCTGTATGTGCTGCAGAAAATCAGCTGGCCGGCGGAAGAGGGTATCCAGAGCTGCCCAGAGAGAGAGAGGATATACATGCAGATATACATGCACAGTGGAGCCGCAATGGGTGACGGCTCACGTGCCTGCAGAGAGAGCTCTGCGTGCCACCTGTGCCACATCTGCCATAGGTTCACCATCACAGGCATAGATGCACAAACTTATTTATAGGCATTTCTGCAATATAAGGTCTTTTTCATATAAACATGCATAATAACACACATAGTCCTGGACTCATGAAGCTTAAGAGAAGCCAAATTATAAGAAGAATCATAATCTGCCTAACCAAAATCCAATTTCCAAAAATAAAATAAAAATAAGTCAAAATAGCTATATTATGAAATAATTTATTAAAATTAGTATATATAAAATAAAGCTTTTAAAATAGTCTGAAAATTGTCATCTATTAGAAAAAGTCAGGACTTTTTCCGTCTTATGTATTTTGTAAAATATTGTGACAGATACCTCTGAGCATGCATGTTTGGGCATGAGCACTAACCTTGACTCTGCCTAGCTGTTTTTATTATGTGAAGTTGAAAGAGTAATAATACTTTACAGACGATACCAAAATAAGCACATTTTAAATATTAAACCAGTTTACCTCACCATTGTTCCAGGCAAATTCTCCATATCCAAGTTTTAAATCAAATGAAAATTCGCCTTTATAGCAAGAACCATCTGGCCATTCTTGCACTCCAGATTTATGCTCAATCCTATTATTGTTCAGATCATCTTCAACTAATATATCTTGCTGTTCATTACTTTCTTCCTCATAAACTTCTCTCTCTTCTTCTTCTTCACCACGCTCATAATCAACAGCAGATATCTGCTCAGTCTCAATTTCACTTTCTTCTTCTCCTGGGAATAAATTATTTGCTGAGAAGCCATCTCCTGGTTTATGTTTCTTTTGTCTGAAATCATAAGCAGGAACAGTTACTATTCTTTATCAACTAAATTCATCCAATACCACAGCTCTTCCATACGAACAGTAACAAAATGTTTCAAAATGATTTGCAAGTAAATGTATGTAGCTTAGAATCCTATGCTCATCTATCAGGATATAGGCTTAATTTAAATCAGCAAAGTTTATTTTTGAGGAGATATGTCAAAGATATTGGAATTGTACCAATTCTGCTATTAAACCTAATCAAATATAAATTTCCAAAAAGAAGCAATTTGGTTGCTTCTATATTTTGCACAATTAGGAAAAGGGCAAAAGACAGTAGCATCTTAAAATAACTAAATAATGTTGGACTGGATGCAGATATTATCATAATTATTCTAAATATCAACTTGCTGTTACCAACTTTGAAGACAAGTCAAAATAACACATAAAGTGAAAGAACAAAAAATAGTGGCCTGAAAGCTTGTGCATTTTAAATAAAACACAGCATTTCTGCGATGGGTTGACGCTGATGTACAACATTTTAAAACAAATTATGGCAGGGAAATAGGTTCAGAAATACTTGCTAAATTTTTCAAGAAATATGCAACCTAGTGATTCTTAAAATATTGTTTGCTCTGGGTTGATATTTTTATAATCATGCTTATGTAGCACAAGAGCTTTTATCCCACTGAACAAAACCATTCAAAATTATCACCATCCTCGGAATTTTGTCATAAAAATATATCCACATAATTCTCCCACAGAAACACTGGTAAGACACATGTTCTTTCCCTGTGCTTAAAATATATTTGTTTACATGTATTCATTGAGCTACGCCAGCAAACAAATCCTAAATAATTAGCTGTTATATCTAAACCTCAGTAATTTAGTTCACAATATACAATTTCTCCTTCCCAGAATACAATTAGTTCCTTGGGATCCTAACTCTGAAAAGATTAACTCTGCAAGTTAGAAATTGAATGGAATTGTCAAATTTTATATTCTAGGTTCTGGCTTAAAGTATAAATGCCACAAATAATCTCAGCCCTATATAAAGTACATATTTAAGTACACTAGTGTTGCTTTCCCCAACACAAAGATTTCCAATAGGAGTATTATTTTGTTATATCAGACAACCAAGATGGCTGTGATAGGAATTGTACATTAATCCAAGACAAATGAATTGCACCAGGGTAAAAAAAAAAACTGGCAGAGGACAGGAAGGTCTGGAGGAACGTTGTCCATGGGGTCGCGATGGGTTGCACACGACTTCGTGACTATCTACCACAACCCCCCCCCCAAAAAAAAACTGGACAAGCAACTTAGGACATCCTTCCTGTCCAAGGGTGGGTACGTTCTCCTAAGGATTTTCATACAATTGCCTTTCCTCATTCAAGCAGTTGTAAAGGGGATCCAGGTAGTTTCGGAAATTATTTTGTATCTTCTCAACACAATCGTCATCTCTGACCCTACTGGAGAGGAAAAATTACCAAGAAAAAAAAAATAGAATTGTAATGCCTTTTGATTAATGACACTTTAAGTCTCTGGATGTATTTTGTACTCACACCCAGAGGCCTTTAATATCTCTATACCTCTTATGCTTAGCCCCATCGTTCTGTATTAAAAGCAAATTATAAACACAACATTAACATGAACTCCTAAGGGCATTTGTTTGCACTTTTTGCACTTTAGAGTCACATTCATAGCAGAGCACGTTGATATCCAAATGTGCTTTTTGGAGACACAACTGAACTTTCTGGTTTTTCTTCGAATACATTTCGCTTCTCATTCAAAAAGATTCTTCAGTTCTGACTGGATGATGGGGAATGGAAAGATTTATACTCCTTGCAAATTGACATTCCCCACCATCCAGTCAGAGCTGAAGAAGCTTCTTGGATGAGAAGCGAAACATCTTCAAAGAAAAAACAGAGTGTCCAGTTGCCTCTTGAAAAAGCATCTTTGGGATAACCATGACCCGGATGACTGAGAACCTCCATAGGCAGTTGATTACCCAAAGCAACATATATTTATTTTTACAGCACCCAGTAGACGTACAAAACCTTCTCGTTGCAAAAAGAAAAAAAAAGATGAGCACGAAGGCTAGAGGAAACTTTCGTCTACCGCATTCCTTCCATTTCACACGTGAACGCCACGCGGCTCCGCGGTCCGCCTACTCCGCCTTCGCAGCCTTTGGCCAGGCCCCTTTCCCGATTCACGTGGCTGTGCACACTTGCCGCCGGCTTCCGCCAGAGGTCCGTTGAGACTAGGAATCTGGTTCGCACGGACGGGAAAGACCCAACCGAGCCTCTCAGAGAGCACCACCCACCCAAGAGCCGCAGCGGCAGCCTGAATGACCTCCATTCGATCTCAAGGCCGGGAAAGGCTCCGCCGGACCCGCAGACGCCGCCTCATAAGGGCCGTGGAGGAGAGCAGAGACGTAACAGTCAGCGAGGACGTGCTCAAAGCGCTGCTCCTGTCGTCCCTCAGTAGGAAACCGGCGCAGGTAGCGGAAAAAGACGGCCAGGTCTCTCTCTCTCTCTCTGGGCAGCTCTCGATACTCCTGTCCTGCCTGGCCTGCTCTGCATCTGAGTTTCCATAGCGATCAAGGCGGGGTTTCTTGGAGTTCGAAGTGGCTCCACCTCGTAGTGATTTTTTATTTACTAGCAATTCTCTTTGGGAGAAAATGCTTCGTTGGAAACAAGCTAATGGTAATAGTTTACAATTGGTTTTCTCAGGGATCACATACAATTCGGCGGGTGTATTGATCTAGATCAGTGTTTCTCAACCTTGAGGACTTCAAGTCGCCAAGGTTGAGAAAACACTGATCTAGATTATATTCCAGGAATCTTTTTAAATCTTAGCACTTCCTTCTTGTTCAAAGTAAGGTTGAGTTCGTGTTTTGTTGTTTAACTAATTCACCAGTTATGCTCCTGTTTAGAAGAAAAGGTTCTCATACAGGACTTAGTACCATCTCATCTTGCCTAAAGCAGCTGTCCCTACAGAACTGTTACAGCAAGCAGTTCAAATTCATCTAGAAATATAGTAAGTTAAAATATTGTGGGAATTCTAAATGCAAACTGATAAAAGTCTTGGCTCATAACACACAAGATTTAATTGTGAAGGAAAGGGTAGTAATGTGGGTGATTGATGTGGCAATAGTAGGTGATAATAGAATAGAAGATAAAGAATTGGAGAAGATTTCAAAGTATTAACATATGAAAATCAAAATTGAGATTATGGCATAAATCAAACATGGGTGTCCCAGTGGCTATCAGCACACTGGGAGCTATACCAAAAAATGTTAGCACCTAGAAAATCTGTGTTTGGACAGACTTTCCATCAGCCACACTGCTTGGATCCAGACAGATAGTACAACATCCTATCTTGGGAAGAACTTGATGTATATGAAGGCCAAAACCAGTTAAGAACTAGAATTTGTAATTTCACACTTTTGGGAAGAGGAGAAGGGCAACAGACAGCAAATGCCACCTTGCAAATGAGCTAAAGAAATAGTGAACTATCTAGTTAGAAGTTGCAAGAAAATTGCTTAGAAACAACAGCATGACAAAGTAGCAAAAAATGTGCATTGGAGTATCTACAAGAAATACCATTTACTTGCAAGCAGGAACTTAAGGTACCATAGACAAAGTAATAAAAAATGAAGACGCTAAAGTGCTCTAGGACTTTAAAATTCAGACAAGCACCTACCACATCCCTAACAATTGTCAATAAGAAAAGCAAAAGTCTAGAGAGAGGATGTTGTAGTACCTGGGGGCAGCAGAATAGAAAAGAACTGGAAAAAATCACAAATGCAAAGACTGGCAAATAAAAATAGAAAGAATGTGGAAAAAGAAAGCAACGCTAGTACCAATAGTAGTAGACACTTCCGGGGCAATCTGGAAACTGGAACACCACTTGAATGCCATTAACAGCTTTAGCAGAAACAGCTTATGTGCTGCAGTGATGTCCTTAACACCATCAAACAATAACATCTGCCTATCACTTCCCTGGGAAGACTAGATAAAAGTGCTAGTCTAAACATCTGATTGGCTGGAAAACAAACTGGAGGGGAAAAACATGACTTGAATGATACATTAAAAAATGCCAAGAAACCTTGCTGAAGGAAGTTGATCAAGAAAACTCTTGAGAACAACAGAGGCTGAATATTTTGGGTGGGGTGTTTGAAAAAAACAATTTGTTAATTGGAAGTACAAGTCAATCCATGGTTAGGACTTGAAGGAAGGAAAATCTGATAAAAACCGCAAATGACATTGGTTAAGTTCAGGAACATTAAAGAAATTGAAAGTTTTATTTTAATGGCTAAAGACAAAAGTTTACCAACTAATTGCGGGAAGGCAAACATTCCACATGTAGCAAACAGAAAATGTTGTCTTTATAGTGAAACAGATGAAACAATTGACCATTTATTAATGACTGAAACAAAATTTCACAAACTTAAATTATGACCAAGTTTGCAGAATTATTCATTGTAAACTGCCGGAAATGAATCAGAACAAGGAGCTCTTTCAGTTAGTTCCTTACGCTCCAGTTATCTCACAATTGAATTACTGCAATGCACTGTATTGGGGTCTGCCCTTGAAAGCTGCATCAGGTCCAGAATGCAAGAGCACACTAATGATGGGGTTACCCCATTATGCTCACATGACCCCACTACACCAAGAGCTGGACTATTTGGCAGTTGACTACATGGTACAATTTAAGGTCCTGGTTCTTCTTTAGGGCTCTCTGATGGACTGCTTGTCTCCAGTTGTTTTTACTCATCTAGTAAAGTCCAACAGGATGGGTGTACTCTAGGTCCTGTCAATTAGACAATGTCATGTCTACTCTTAAAGCTCCCTGTCAGGCCTGCAGCCATCTTTTCTTTTGGATCTTTGGCCTGCCACACTTTCTATTATTCTACTATGCATTTTCTATTGTGGGAAAATGGGAGGGGGAATTGTACGAGTGAGATGCTATGTAGCCATAACAAAATTCTTTCTACAAAGCCAAGGTCATCCTTTGTCTTTGTACCTCTACACCTGACCAGAACTGGATGGGTATAACTGCCAGCATGGCAGTGGAAGATTGTACCATGTGATGGGCTTGTGGGTGTGGGGGCAAGGTTTTCAACTGGGTGGGGAAAACTGGGAAGCTTTCAGATTTGGGTTTTCCCAGATGTGCCAACATGGCTCCCTTAATAAATTGGAACTTGGAGGAATGCTTTGCCTTGGACTCTGATTTAATTTTGGATGCTATTTGGAACCCTGACATTCCTATTCTCTGGATTGATCTCCCTCCACAGCAGAGTTTCGTGTTAGGAAATCATTGAAGATTTTCCAGGGCCATGGGAACACAATAAACAAAAGAGACTCACTTTGTTTTGGTGTCTCTCTAGGTTTATTGTTTATGTGCTGCTCCTCTGTTAGTTGTACCATTTATATTATTATTCTTTTTAAGTTGTAAATTCCCCAGAATGGCTTTAGAATTGAATGGCTTTGGAATTTGATAAATACATTTTGATAAATCAAGAAGTTACCATTCCTTTCTATTCTGCTTTGTTCTGTCCATGGCTAAAATATTGCATACATTTCTGTCTTCAAATTCTTGGAAAAGATGTTCACAAACTGGAGCATGTTCAGAAGAAATCTGGTGAATAAAAAGGGGCTCCCAAAGAGAACATATTTACAGAAAAGGGATATAATTAGGCTGAAAAACAGAAGACTGGTGGACAGATTGTCTTGAGTATCTGAAGGGCTCTCATGTAAAAGTTGGGTCAGAATTGATGCAGTAGAATATTCTTATTGCTATTAGGGGATGTTTTCATGGGGGATTCTGCACTAGGCATCAAGCTGAACTAGATGATTTTCAAGGTATTTTCCAATCACTACCTTTTATTATATCAGTATGCCGATTGAAGACCGAAATAAAAATTGTATAATGACTTTGAGCAGCTATGAACCCACCTGTTGAGTGTAGGCTAGAAGTGTCAGTGTGACTTGCTTTTCTGTGTGTGTATGTTTGAGAGAAGGAGAAAACTTAGATAAAATTCTACAGAGCCTATGACTTCAATAATGGATCTGGAATTTTTGATGTTTTGTTTGTTGCTATGGTCTCAGAGAAGTCTTAAATCTCGCAGTGTGTTGGACTCCAACTGCTTAACCACTAGTCTCCATGTATTCTTCTATAGTCAGTTGGGCTAGAAAATGGATGAAGGCTGTGGGAAAATGAGATTTTAAGTGAAAGATTTTGAGAATTGGTACCTGTGCATTTTTAAACAGCATTTGTGGATAATTATTGATACATTATATAATATATTGGCAGCATCCACTACATTTTCACTGCTTCCTTCATATCTAATCTTAATAATGTGTTAAACCTGGATCTTGTTTACAAAAAAAAATCAATTGAAACACAAAAGACAAGTTATATATATTATGTATTGTATTGAAATTATCTTGGTGCCATTAGTAAATGATATATTTACAGTGTGTGATCAGAATAAAACTGAGCCATAAACTGGGAAAAATTAATTATTGTATGATACCAAAGCCAGATAACAAGTTTTCATATAGAATTGTATTACATTATTAGTTTTCTCACATATATGAATTAACACACACAAAATGGAATTAAAAATAACGACTAAATGGCAGCGCCATAAACATACAGTATATAACTTTAGGTACAATCTCATAAAAAGATACGCTATGATTTTGTTACTTCATAAATTCTTCCTTTGCAGAAAGAATACAGATACATTATATGGCTGCAATTAACATTATATAGGATCTAGCATTGCTTTGTAAGTGTATATTCTTCACAAAATATCACATTCTACAATGCAAATGGCAGCCGTTTTGGCTCCAAGGGCTGTATGGGAAAAAGGGGTTTAGCTCTAGATTAATATCCAGGTTTTCACAGATGTATGTATGTGTAAGAATAGAATAGAACAGAATAGAATAGTTGGAAGGGACCTGGGAGGTCGCCTAGTCCAACCTCCTGCTCCGGCAGGAAATCCTATACCATTTCAGCCAAATGGTTGTCCAATCTCTTCTTTAAAATGTCCAGTGTTGCAGCATACACAACCTCTGGAGGCAAGTTGTTCCATTGATTAACTTCTAATTCTAGGTTGCTTCCCCTTGATTGGTTTCCATCCATTGCTTCTTGTCCTGCCTTCAGGTGCTTTGGGGGAATAGGTTGACTCCTTTTTTGTGGCAACCCCTTAGATATTGTGCAGTTTTTAATTCATAGATGTACTACCAATCATTATCAGTAAGGGGGGCAAGTGAGCAAAGAACTGCTGAAATTCCTACTAAAGCAATGGATGACCAGAGTTTCTTATACTATGTTTTTCATCAGGTTTTCAGCCTTTAGAAATCTGCAATAATAACATACCATGATGTCCAATAAATCCTGAGCTTCTGAAAAAGCTATAAAAAATACTTCACATCCTTTTTAAAAAAACATTTCCTGAATTCATTCTGAACTTTGGAATTTCCTAAA